TTTTAATCCCTAATTGCCTTCCCTCTGCAGTAAACCCACCTTGGGTATGAGATGCAGAAGCTGCGGGGACTCGACTGGCTGGCAGCACACCCCACAGACTGGCCCAATGGCCACTTTCTGCCCTCGTCTCCCTCTGCAGAGCTCTAATTTTGATTGTTCTCTATTCAGCTACCAATTTTATGAGACCTGTAAGGGTAGACTTATTTTTCATGTTTTTCCCTTCTTTCAGAATTGGGGGGAATTGACCAACAGTTACTGATGACGGAAAATGGGGAGAGAGCAGAGTCTGCAAGGTCTTTGTGGGTCAGCACCCAGCGATGCTCTCATCAGCCTGGTTTTCTGTTTGGATACACAACCCAGAGATTGAACAAAACTCTTAATCTAAAAATCCCGTGTTTGGAGTCTGTTATTACTGTATAGGGGTTCATTCTCTTAGAGGCAAAATAGTCTGCGTTAACTGTCCTTTACAGGCAAGTTGTTACCAGAAAATGTGCTTTTGTGTGTGCTCCCACATCACCGCTGCTGTTGGATAACTACGGCTTTACTCACAGAACTGTTGGTGATAAGAGAAATGTGTTCACTCTGCTCTTCAGCTGTGTTGGTTTGGGAAAATGAGGAGTTACGAAAAATGAAGCTGGTGTGGTGTATTGTTTAGTATTACAGATGTGCAAATAGGAATAAGCAAGAGGCGTGAGTTGGAAATGGAATCACAGGAAGCCTGGTGTCTTACAAAGAATAACTGTAAAGGTGTTCCTGCCCCATAAAGGCTCTAGAATGGAAGCAGAAGTTAAATGAGGTTAAACGAAGTGACTGAGGGCTTGTGGGGGCGGTGGGAGGATGTTGGGTTTTATTAGAAAGAGGAAGAAAGAATAAATCCTGGACCTTTCACTTAAAATCAGATACCTGTTTGGCTTTAGGGTCAGGGATTTGACCTTTCAGAGAGAGGTATTTTGGGAGGTTAGAAGTCACATTTAGATCATCCAGTCCCTGTTCCTAGACAGTACAAGAGCAGTTCCTTTCACTATATATTTATTTCTTCCAGTCTAATTATATGTATCCCTAGTGATTGCTTTTTTATTAACTTCCTCCATAAATGTTAATATTCTAAACCAGTCTCCCTGGGTTCTCTGCTTTTAATCTGTGTCAGGGATGAACCCTGAATCCTTATGTGGAGTTCAGGACAAGACATCTGAGTAATGGAAAGGAAAAGGACATTCTGCAAAATGAGGGACCATGCTGGTTTGGGGCAATTTAGTTTAAAATTCAGTGTGTTTGGGTATTTTTCTGTCATGGCTGGATGAAGTTGAAACCTTCATTTCCCTCCTTGCCTTTCTTCCTAAGAGAAGCAGGGAAAAAAAAAAGACTAAGCCTTCCTCTGGAAAGCTGTCCTAGCCAGGGCTCATCCCTGGTGGGGGCTCAGCCCCGTGGCCGCACAGGCGCCGGTTCCCACCCTGGAGTTTCCAACAGATCTGTCCAGCTGCAGATGTGAGAAAGGAAAAGCAGGTACCAAAGGCAAATGAAGCAAGAGTCAAAAGAAAAGCAGTCTCTTTGGTGTGCGCTCTCTGCCCGCAAGCAGGGGAGAAGATGAAAGGCTCCGTGTATGGTTCAGTAGCCTTTTCTTTTCTTGTTCCAGGTATCGGTTAACCCCCCGAGGAGCAGAGGCACAGGGATGCTGTGACTACTTACTCTTGTTAGTTTATGTTCATGGTGAAGAGATGTGAGCGGAGCTGCCTGGTCTGCTTACAGCAGAGGAAATGGATCTCAGGGGAACAATTAATTTTGCTTGGCTATTTCTGAGCCAGGTGAAACTGTAAAATGAACCTGTGTCCTCCCCATTGTCTAAAAGGGATGTATTTATTTATTTTACATTTTAATGCACCACTGACAATTTATGGTCTGAGTCTGAATGAATTTTTAATAGAGAACTGATAGAAGAAAGGTGTATAACATGGGATTTTAATAGAAAAGGTTATCTGACTTGAAAAAGGAAAAAAAAAAAAAGACAGAGCTGATATTTTAATTAACTGCTCCCTGCCTGTGTTGTGATCCCAGAGACATGACGAGTGAGTGCCAGAAGGTGAATCTGGTTGGAAATAAAGTGATTCCAGTCTTGAATTAGAGGTGAGAAATGAGACAGTGCTTCAGTATTCTCGCAGTTTGAATAACCTGAGTTGCTGTTTGCAACACAAAGCAGAGTTCATTGGAATTAAGACAGTCTGCAGAGCTGTGACCCAGTGTGTTGGAGAGTAATAGTAGTAAAAAATAATAATAAATAAAACATAGTAATGAATAAAAAAAAGCAGAAACAGTAAAAAAAAAAAATAGCATCATGGAAAGGGCTCCGCCTTCCCTTAATCCTGCCACTGTAAGAGATTAGACAGTTCAGATTCAAACAAAGGACCAAATGCGTTTGTATCCTGCTGATTTATCTGGCAGGGGACCGTTGGACCTTTGGGTGGGCGTGCAGACAGGGTTGACACTTTTTGGTCAGGTCACTGCTGATGAGCAGTTGTGCCCAACTTCATTTTGCAAAGGGGAGCTGCACTGGGGGAGCACATTAACACCTTCCAAGTGACACCCCGGGACTGTCAGTAATGCTTTTCTCCCCCTTTTTGTGAATCCTGGCAATGTATTAATTGTGCTGCCGAAAAGCAGCGTCAGGGGAACAAAGCAATCAGTGCCACCATCTGCTGTGAGCAGGTTGGCCATGTTGAAGGGAATGCCTGTTACGCTGCTTTCTGGGGCTGACTCTCTTGCTTGCGCTTGTGTCCACGTGTCCCGGAAAGAACCGTGATCAGAGTGTTAGACTGACGGAAAAAGGGGAGCTTTATTCTGAGGTAGAAAAGCAGTTGTGTTGCTGTCTGGATCTCTAGAAAATGAGTCAAAGGACAGTTTTCCTATGGAAAGCAAGATTAGGATATTAAGAGAGCTGGTATAAAAAATAGATTTTAAAAGCTAAGTTACTTAATCTCTAGTATTATACTGTTCTCTGTTTCCTGGATGAAGATGTGATTGTTTCATTTGTAGACCTTCCCCTAAAAGCAGATACCAACATTTTACCCAGTCAGCTTCACAGCGAGCAGGGGAGTGCTCCCACTTTGCTTCTGCAGTCTTATCCCATCTGTATCTGGTTAGAGTTTGTGACCGTTAAATACATCAAATTGATTAAATCAAACTTAAATAAAGCAGAAGTGACACTTGATAGCCAGTTTCACAGGTTTTGGATTTCTAACTGGAGATGTTCAAGAGAAAGTCTGTTTCCCCCAGTAATGGATGTGCAGCGTCTTTTGAAGATCCGACTGGATTCTTTGGATTCTTAGTGTGACTGGTCTCATGTAAAACTCTTGCTCTATATAGGGTTGGGATTTTTTCCTGATTTCCTCATAGTATCTGGTTACTGAATGACTAAAGAGAAAACTGTCTTTTTTTTTTTTTTTTTTTTGAGCCTGGCTCATTTAGCAACAGAAGGGGAGTAAATGTACGTTGTCTTTATAAAGTGTATCTTGAGAGATTGTACAGCTGGTTAGTGATGCTTTGCAGTGTTTTCCTGCCGGATGCCTGTTCAGGGAAGCTGCATGTTTTGTGTGTTAGAAAAATGAGTACTTGAGTTCTGCCATGTAGACCTCTGCAGCACCTCGCACAGCAATGCCCCTTATTTCCTGCATGAGCATGTAGGCGATATTTAATATGGTTTCCCTCCCTGGCAGCAGCTCATGTAAGAAAAAAAAAAAAAGGGAAAAAAAAATTAAACCCCTAGGGGCTTATTTATTGTATTTAATGCTTTGAAAATGTTTGCTGAAAGAAATATTGCTATAGCAATGGTGTGTGTACATGAATTACATCAGGGAATAGCTATCAAGCTCAAACCTCACTGTGAGAGTAGCTGAGCAGTGGAACGCTGTTCCCTGTTGCCCAGGGAGTTTGGACTGTCTCTGTCTTGGTGGTTTTTAGGCCAGACTGGCTAGAACTCAGAGTAACCTGGTCTGACCTCAGAGCTGACCCTGTCTTGAACAGGAGGTTGGATTTGATGACCTCCTGAGGTCCTTTACTACCTGAATTTTCCTGTGATCCTATTAGGTTGTGAGCAGCTTTGCAGAGGGAGGAAGCAAATCTTCTCCCTGTCACCACTTCCTATGTAAATTGGTCCCTAACAAAGGTAGATACCAGTTAGCCATAGTCTTGCACTTCAAGGGTGGCAACACCAAGCCTGAGCCTTTGCTCATGACTCAGTTCAGTTCCTAGCAGAAAAGCCACCGAAGTCACCATTGCAGAAGCAGCGAGTGTCTGGTGATCACATTGACACTGAAGCCAAGGAACGAAGGGGCTGGATATCTGCAGATTAATTTCTTTCTAATGCAGTAGGAAGATGCTGATTTTTATTACAGGGCACTGGTGGTGCTGTGCCACCGGCATATATGAGTGGACCAATTAATTGCTTGAGTTCATGTCTTGCATCTTTTTCAAGCCCTAGCTTAATGGAAGCAAAGCAAATTATGTGGAGTGGTTGACATTTAATGAAACGATCTTTAGTGTTTGGAGGAGTGCTTTATGATCATCTACTGTGGTGACAGATATACTAAAAAAGACATGAATAGATTGCATAGTTAAAAACATTATTACTTAGATTATTGTACTCCAAAGGTGAGATTTGTTTGTCTTGCCTCACTGTAAATCATGCAGCATGCTCAATTCCATATAGGCAGCACCTTTTTGTAGTGGAAGCCCTAGATAATTATTTTGAAAAAGAACATCCTAGGTTTTTGAATGTCTGGAAAAAGACATAAAAGAGTGGGTCCATGTTAAATAGCAGAGGGGTAAGAGTTCTAGAGAGAAGAAACACCCATTTTTGATACCTGTTTGCCTCTGTAAGGAAGAAGCAATGTTGAATGTGAAGTGGATTCTCTCAATACAGGGCAATCAGTGTCATTCTTAGTGGGACTGGATGTAACGGAGGTCTTCTGCATTACTTATATTAATGCTCCATACTTCTCTTTTTGCAGCAAAGAAAACTTGTGCCGAGTCGGATTTCACTTGTGACAACGGCCACTGCATCCCAGCCAGGTGGAAATGTGATGGTGAAGAAGAATGTCCTGATGGGTCAGATGAATCAGAAGCAGCATGCAGTGAGTAGTACAGAAAAATGTGGTTTCTCAGACATGATGTCTTTTCAAAGTGCAGAGAAAGTGGAGGTGGTGTTCCCAACACTTGCAGGATGATCCGTCAACTTGTGCTTCTGTTAGAGCAGAAATTAAAGACACAAAAGATTCAGGTCATTCAAATCAGATGGTTTCGAAACTTTCCAATGTACTGGTTTTCCAGATTATGATACAGGCAGCGCTATCTAGTGTGCATTTCTGTCTGCAGTAGAATTGAGAACATCTCTATCTCTGTTACAGTTTGCCTGGTTGTAAGGCTCATAAGCAGCAGCAGTGCACAAAGGTTCACACTCACCTGGAATCAGGCCTTTTGGAAACTCAGGTTTGCAGCGTTTTGCATGGCAGCATATTGGGATTTATCATCACTGCAGGCAGCAGTTCTGTCATTACAGAGGAGCTTTCCGGTGTTAGAGTATTGCTCAATTTTTTTTTATGCCTTCGAGAATGAATGAAGAAAAAAGTAGCAGATGAAAGATGAGCAATGTAAAATAACTAAAGCTGAAAGTAAGTATGACAGATGATAACTGCAGAGAACATCTTTTAAAAACCCATTGATTCAGTCAGTAAAAGAGCATGCTTGATTTTTGGGTAGTGCATTCTATCTTGCTCTTTTGACTCTCTGAGGAGGTCCATTTGCTCTCTATTGTTCTAGAACTGTGAAGGGTTGTCTGATGTTGACTTGAAGGCATATTTTAACAAAAACACTAACTAATATGTAGACTTCTATTTGTGTGCTTTACTTACATCTGCAGATTTGTTCTTGTACAGACCAAGAAACTTAGTACAAGCCGTTCTACTGAATTTCCAGTCACGTACTTCACAAATATGTTCCCATGAGTCAGAAGCAGTATTGGAGGAAGTCTTTTATCAGATTTCACCAAAATGGGGCATATAGAGGACTTCAAAATTAACCATACTTTTATTTTTAAGCCTAGTACCAATCCTACTTTCTCCCTAATTAAGAAAGATAAATGCGCTTCTCTTGCATAAAATGAACGGAATCATTTTTGCAGCCATATACAGGCTCCAGAAAAGATTACATCAGTAGTTGCATTAACATATTTATATGTGTTGATCTTTCACCCTGCATCCTCCTTAGTCAAAAAACTATCTTATTAATGCTGCTTCCACTACCTGATTGCATGGAGGGGGGCTGAATAATTAAGCAGCTCCATTCCCTGCAGTCTCTGTAAATCTCTTGTCAGAGGCCGTAGCCTGGACCATGCAGTGCTAAGATCCCTGACAATTTCTCTTAATCATTTTCTGTTCCTTCTCTAGCCTTTTTGCCTTCCATTCTTCCTCTACTTATGTTTATCCTCTGGGGAAATCAGCCTTAAAATTTAAGTATCTTAAGAGACTTGGCCTGAGCCTCTGATTTTTACGGTATGGAGCTGCCATCCTGAGAGGAACATAATTTGTTCAGTTTTGTGTGATTTTTCTGCTTGAAACCTTTGAAGAGACCGAAGTCTGCATTTCTGTGGTGGTTCTTCTGTTCAGTAAAATAGATGGCCCTTGAATGTCCCCCTGGGGCTAATGGGGAGTGGGCCAATATCACCTCGACTCAGGGAGAAGTTTGTACCCATTCTGTGGTGTATGCCTAACGGGTGAATTGGGAATTCCTTGTGAAATGAGCAGTACCTGTATGGACCAGGTTTAATTAAATTCTTAATTTGTTTTGTTGTTTCTTTTTTTTTTTTAAGTGCAAGGTCTTTGGAACAAGGTCAAATGCTATGGTGTATAGCTATGCCGTATTTTATTTGTATATATGTTTGTATATAGCTGTCTCAAGCAGATTTACCATGCTTTGCCTCAGCATAAGATATTTAGGGTTTTTTATGAGTTTTAGCCAAAATAGGTCAATTTCTGTGTGATGGATGCATTAACTTGTGTCTCGAGGTTCACAGGATCCTTGCTACAAGTCTGTGTGTGACTTGTGGCTAGCTCACAAGAGAAGCCGATGTTTCTGTCTGTACCAGTTGAAAGTTTGCCTTGAAATCTTAAAAATGTCTGCAACTAGAATTTGGAACTTTACTTGTTTTATAGGATTATTCAGATCTGAAGCTCACACTTAATCAGATGAAGATCAAGTAGTTTTAATCCTATGACTGTTGATAGCTATAGGCTTTAATTTGCACGGTAAGGACGTTCTTTCCAGATGTTTTGTATCCTTGTCAAAGTACGTGTCATCTAGGAGGCTGATCTGATCTGATCTGCTCTGGAAGGAAATCGAATCAACCTGGTCATGAATAAGCACAGTGCTGGTTGTGGGGTTAATTCATGTGTTTGCAGGTCTTCCTACCACCCCTGGTCAAAGCAGCAGTGAGTTATAAACTTGGTGGACTGTTAAACAAGAAACCGGAGTGTTGGGCTTTGCTTTGAATTTATACCCTCAATATAAAAGGCTTAGCTCTTTGTGTAAATGCCATTTAAGGGCAAAGAAAAGGCTGTAATGACAAACAGAAAATGTAGTGAGAGGCAAAACCCACACAGTTTTACACTCCTGTATGGACCTTCTTTCCAGTCCCATTTTTTTTCTACCTGATGAAAAAGGCTGAACTTCCCTCCAGTGTCTGAGGAATGACTGCAGACCCCTGCGACTGTCTCATTTTCCTGTTTAGCAATGCAGCACAGCCCGTTGGAGGAGCCTGCGCTGCGGAGCTTCCCTAGGGAAGGGCAGGTTGGGAAATGGAAATTTCTCACCTCTGGCAAGATCAAACTGCTTTATAAAATGAATTGCTTTTCAGACAGGCCACATAATTGCCGGCATCTCTGCCAGGATCCAGGGTTATTCCTCGATTAATGCAACATTGGGACGTTGTCCATAGTCCATTCGAGCTAGGGAGGTTAAACGCATCAATAATGCTGACTGTTGCATTTTAGGAGTATTTCCAGGTTAGAATGTGATCAAAATAGAGCAGTTCCTCTCAGCATCTAGCAGGCTGCTAAATGGCTTTTTATTTTCTGAATGCTTTTGTGGTGCTTTTTTTTAATACATGTTGTGCTGCCTCATTGGTAGTTAGGGATGTTGTGTCCCCATTCTAATGCTAAGTTAAAGATAACAGTTTGGGGTTGGTTATCTTTTTTTTTTTTTTTTAGGTAACCCCCCCCTCCGAAACCAAAATGGTACTTTGCTTTTTCTATTTCCTAGATAACTGAAGTTGCTCAGCTTTGTACCAAACATTATCCTCTGTAGGGATGTTACCTACCCCCAGATCTTCAGGACAGTGTGACCTCTCTTAATGTCAGATAGGTAAGATGGCATGACAGCTGGACTGATTTCTCTTGGACCTGTGATGTCTAGGGCCTTTTCTGCTATCCATGCAATTGTTTTTTTTTTTTAAACTGCACTTTCTACAAGCCACTGAATGTGTCTGGGAGTGGTAGGTGTAAGGATATATTCTGAGTCCCATTGAATTCTCAGCTGATGAGATCTGTAGGACTTCTGCTGTGGGTTTTGGTGCTAGTTGAAGGTCAGTTCATTCCTAGCATGGGCTGATGTTGGAGAAGGTGCTTGTCCAGGCTTTTGGTTTGAAACGGGTCATTATGAATAAGAAACTGCTTTTTTCTTCATCTTTCTTTGAGCCAGATCCTTAACCTAAGCATGCTCTCGCATCCATAGCTTTGTCCAAGTGAATTATTCATGTAACATGTGAGTGGTGCTACTAAACCTCAGTGTTCTGCCATCTGTCAGTTTTTCAGTGCTGTTATCCGACTGCTGAGTTTATTTTGTCTCATTTAATTTATATTAAGGTTTCAAAGAAATGTGTCTTCCTCTTCTGTAAGCTGATCTATTCAAGGGCATCTTGTGGCCTAGATCTCTTCTCTCTGAAGTCATCAGTAGAAATACTGTCCGGTTGAGGGGGGGAATATGTGTTTTATTTTTTGTTTCCATGTGGAAGCATAATAAGCCCATAAATCAAGAGAAGCAAAACCATGTGAACTCAGAAATTAATGATATCTGCAAGAGGCAGAAGGGACCAAATTCAGCTTAAGAAATTGTGTTGATTGAGGCTAGAGGAAGGATTTAATATTGAAGAGAAGAAAGTTATTTTGAGGAACATAATAAATAAAAAGAAGTGGGATAGTGGATGAGAGGGAACAAAGAAACACCATTTAGCTGTGCTGCAGCGGTGCTCCTGGTGGGGAAGGGGAAGAGTTAGTACTTGGGCTTGCCAGCTCCCAGCCTCGTCTCTTGACAAAGCCTTTTGAGATTCAGCGTTTGCCTGAACTAGGCCTCTGTTCAGGAAAGGTTGGCTGCTTGTATATAAAGCAAATGAACTACTTTGGCCTTGCAGGATACGTGCCAAGAAAAGAGCCAGGGGAGAAGTAGGCTTGTCTTTCTGTTTGACACCCACCATCGCTGCTTCTCACTGCTGGCTGCGAGGGAGAGCCGAGAGTGGTGCAAAACCGCCGTCTTGGAAGGTGCTCTGGAGTGATACTGGATTCCCCCTTCACCATGCCGGCTTGTTAGTGTGCGAGGAGCTCCCCACAAATCATTAAACAGGATAGCAGAGTATCTGGAGTAGCAGGAGCAGAGTTAGTGCCTCTGTCAGCCTGACACCTGTGACTCCCCTGAACCTCACCAGCAGCTGGTTTGAGCTACAGAAGATATTTTTCACCTCAGAGCAGGTTTGAACACTGAAGATGTTACAATTGTTTGCCACCAGGTTATACAGCAGCATGCCTCTGCCAGCTGCAGGGAGATCTGTGGTAGCTTAACGGATCCTCTCCCTTTGGAGAGCACACCATGGCCAGAGCCCCAGGTTTATTTTTCATTGCTCTCCTGAAAAGCAACCCAGTGTGGCTCGGTGATCACCCTGGAGCTGTGGTGCAGCCCCTGCTCACATGCACAGGCTTTGTTTATGCATATGAACAGATTCCTCACTGTTTTCCTATCCAGTTTCTTGAAGCTGAGAGAGGGGGGAGGGAAGTAATTTTTCTTACTGAGCTAACAGAGACCTCCAGCA